TACGGCAGTTATTCTTGATATCTTTGTCCATTGACGGCCAATAAGCATAACTACGAGCCAATGATTTCATTTTATTGATTTCAGGATGGTCACTGCGAAACTGCTTGAGAAACATGTGACGTAATAACTTCGGAATAACAATTCGATCACCGAACATATACACGAGTCAACAACCATTAGTGATTTCCGTCGACGAAACTATTGCAAACGTTCTCCGTCAAGGCGATTGTTTGGCCATTTTGTCAAGAGATAGCATTTAACTGTGCTCAGTATCTTATCACTTTCAGTGATCTTCTTGATACTTTCAATGATTACTGAAAGTTTATTGATTGCGTCATCCAATACGCGATGAACTTCTCCCTTGGCTTTTATATTTGCTTCAAGAGTCTCTCCTGGGGTTTTTGATTGGGAGCTTTTTATTCTTGACAATGCGTCAACTAGCCTGAAGGCGGTAGTAGACTAATACTTGATCATGAATTCGTAAGCCGGAAGTGTGGTTGCCCATCGTTGGAGTTGGTTGGCTGTATGAACAGGAATTCTTTTCTTTGACCCAAAAACTGCAAGAAGTATCTAATGGTCTGTTATTAAGGTAAAATTTCGACCATATATCATCTTGTGGAACTTTTTCACTGCAATGATAATTGATAGGGCTTCTTTCTCAATTTCACTATAGTTCCTTTTGGTCGTTGTCAAAGATATGGCAGCGTAGGAGATAGCTTTTTCAGACCAAATCGGAAAAGTCTGAGAGATGATTGCGCCCACACCATAGTTAGAAGCATCTGAAGCAACGAATATCGGTAGCGAAGGATCGTTATGTGTCAACAAGAGATTGTAAGCTAGGAGTTGTTTGATTTTGTCGAAAGATGCTTGGCAGTCCACAGACCAATTCTTTTCTAGTAGGTAGTTTAGTGGAGCACGTAGACGATGGAGATCGGGAAGGGAAGTACCATAGTGGCTGACCAATCTCAAGAACGATCGTGAGGTAGTAATGCCCCTGGGTCTAGGCATTGTTCTCACAGCTTCAATGTTCTCTGGATTTGGTCGTCTTCCATCTTTATCTATTATGAACTCAAGGCACCGTACTTGCTGCATATAGAAGTCACACATTTCCGCTTGGAGACGGAAACCATAATCCGCTGTGCGTCCTAGTACGTGGTTCAGTTCCTTCTGCAGGTACATTTTGTCTGCCGCCATAACTATGATGTCGTCTAAATAAGCTGCTGCCCCTGAAATACCTTGTAACACGGTATCCATAATTTGCTGGAAAATAAAAGGCGCCGTCTTCACTGCAAAAGAGAGTCGGTTATACCGGAACAGACCTTTGTGTATGTTGATCGTCAGGAGATCTTTGCTTTCATCAGATACCGAGATTTGTAGATACGCGTCTGACAAGTCCAATTTCACAAAAAATCTGCCATCGTTCAGCTTAGCGAAAAGATCTGATTAGGGTAACGGGTATTGGTGAGACCCTAGAGCTTCATTTAATTTGGTAGAGTAGTCTGCACATAGACGGACGCTTTAATTCGACTTCTTGATCACCACCATTCGTGCAGCATAGTTCGAGAAGTTTATAGGTTCGATAACACCCATTTCCTCAAGTCGTAATTCTTATTCAACCATTGGAAGAGCAGAATAAGGTACAGGCCTTTCAGGTTGAAAGACGGAAGTAGCTGCAGGTTTCAGGGTTAACGATGCTTTGGACTTCGTACGTTCCCCTAATCCTTCTTTAAACACGTCGTGGTCTCTTTGTAGCACGGCATTTTTTTCGCTCCACTCTAAGGTGTTGTCAGTTCTGATTCGTCTACGGATGCAGTTAATAGAATGGTCTGCTAGTTTAAGTGTCTCTATAAGATCTGTATTACATGAAGTAGGGTTTTGCAAAATATCGTTTATGGCTTCTTCTTCTGCAGCAGTTTTCTATATGGCCCTTTCGATGACATTTACTGCAACAGTGTTTTTTATACGGTCAGAACCTCTTATCGTTCCCAACCACCGATCTCCCAATTTTGAAGAAGCCATCATAGCAAACTTTGGAAAAATGACATAAAACCCCCTAAGTTTTTTCAGACCTGGGGTAATTCCTTAAAATTTCTCCAAAATATCCCCTGAATTTTGAGCTTTTTTCCGAAATTTCACCTGACTTTGGAGTTTTCCCTCAACATTTATCCTGAATTTCGCTCCTTTCCCCAAAATTTCACCATAAACTTATAAAACTTTACGAGCTCGTTTTAACGCAATACGTCTACAAAAAAACGGAAAAACCAGGCGAGAATACATACATACAGTTTTTACTGCGAGGTTACATTATTTTTTGTGAATTATGCAGTGACAAAGAAACTGAAAGCTAACCGATCTATCTCTGTAATTAAAAGACTGATTCGTGACACACAGAAATGTTTATTACGGCTAATAAAATTACAAAACACTGATTTATACAAGCTTTTTTGGTGAGGCTCTAATTTATGAACGAACCTTGAACGAATCTAAGTGAACTTGACAATTATTAGCCAATCAGAAGACAGTTAGCATAAAGTAAAAATATATTAAAAGAAACTAATGAATTACAGTGAATATTCTCCTTTTACGTGATTTAAAAACTTGTTAGGGTTTGCCAAATGTTCAGATGTTCTGAAATCATAACACATACGATATAGGAACTCGTTCATTTGGCTCCATAGTAATCAACCTCTGGAGCTGCGGTACGGTCTCAAAAATTACTTCAATCTCGACCACGTGGCTTCAATGATGTTAATGCGAACGCCGGTAGTAGGTTTGACAAAATGGCGTCTATGCATTACGACATCTTGGACATACCCAAGTCTATGAAGGCATCTATACGCTTTCCAACCATCTGTATATACCGTAGTGCCAGGCTGCACGTATTCCTTTATAATTGGCATTATTGTGTTTGCCTGAGGGTTTTTCACCCTCTAGAAGTGCTACTTACCCAATCTTCTTTAATACTGCGTCCCCTGTAGTATTTTCGCTTTTGCACTACTGTTTCATCTACTTCCACAATACTTCCTACTCCTCCGAATGATTAGTGTAGACCTGTCATTTTAAGTACAAATATGTCACGACAATACCCATTTCACTAGACGACTGAAGTTTCAGTAACATCTGTGAACACCGCAGCCAATGTTACTGGTGTATTTATAATCTAATTCGCAATAATTATCATGATTTGTGATAGTCTCAATCAGGATCGAGCGAAGAAAGTCCACGTTCGAGCAGACTTTTTTCTCCAACATAAAGAACACCGAAATACAATCTCATCACGATAGTCTGAACACTGTGCTGCAGTCATTTGATTACCTCAGTCACAGATACAGGAACGTCTTGGTAGTCTCATTTTTTGTAGCGGCTCAATAATCACCTCTTCTCTAAAATGCGCTGTAAACCGATCGTATGTGAACATCAGGTGTTGAACTTAGCTCCGCGACCTTTAAATTCCTTAAACGCTTCTGATTGGCTCGTCCATGAATTAGAGTCTCGCCTAAAAGAAGTACTTTTCAGTTTATAAGCGAATGCCAAGATATGAAAAACGTTGATGACGTTCCAACGGTATACCAATGTTGGTATTAATGCGAATAAAGAACTTACAGTCACGTCTGTTAAAACTTGCGAAGCCAGCTGAAAGCAAGATGGACAAGAAACAACATTGTTACTGACTAGTAAAAAGGTGTATCAGTAAAAATATTGATCACAAAGTAACATCAAAAATGCATTATGCATTATATCAAACATGTAAGGTGCTTATAGCTCGACTTACTTTGAACCGTTGATCATATGGAGGCCGCCACACAACCAGGATGGGGATGATGGTTTTCCGCTGTCATTACGATAATTCTGTGTGCTGGAACCTTGCGAGACTTCTCTCGACTACATTGACGTAAAGGAAACGGGTATCGTTCTCTACCATCGAGGTATCATGCTTCAAGTTCATTAACCTTTGGCATTCGCCGGTTACTTCCTGCAGGGCAATGTTGGAGCAGTGTTCGAGCTTGTTTGAATTCTTGTTCGGATGTCAGAATCCTCGGGTGAACGCAGGCTACAGACAAATACTAGGTATTTAAACTGGTCTTCTGTCATGGAAAACTACTTGAACCTCTCACACTCTCTGTTTACGATTCCTGCATATTTCACCCAGCCATCTCCTGGTTCTTTTGTTATCTTCAAGCATAGGTAACGAATATTAAATAGACATGACTGTTATCTAAAGATTTGGGGCAGATTTTTAACTGTTTCATCAAAACTAAAGTCTCGTGGGTTCTTCGAAAGAACGAAATTACTATAGCGTTCATGTTCCATCGTCACAAGTTTTTTTGGAATTGTTCTGACTATTGAGGCATTATCAACTCCTCAGAGATCAATATAGATCAACTCTTCATATTTCTTAATCCAAGAATAAAACGTTCAACCTGCTGCACCGTCAAGATCAAATTAATGAATGGCACTAATGATTGAATCCATATGAGATACTTGTGAATCCCCAAAAGCAGGGTTTTGTTGGGACAAGCACAATATTTGCATCAAGGGTTCCATGATTCTGATTTGAGACTGTTAAAATCTCTTATCTTGACGCTGCGTATGAGCATCCAACTGCTCAAAGAAAATATTCATTGCGGTTTTCACGTCGCCACCGATATGTCTTACTAATTGAACGCAATATCCGGTTCCTAAACTATTCTCGTAACCCTAAGCTAGAACTACGCAGTGACCAGAACCCGAGAGAAAAGGCGCAAAATAAGCGAAAGGCATTTTACTACAAGTGTCCATTTTCGTACAGAAAAACACGTGTATTAAGAGATGTTAACATTTGTTAAACCAACATCATTATTATTATGTGTGACCTAGTTACAACAAGTATATATGGTCAATGATGAGAAATCATTAGAATAACCGAATACAAATACGTGTTGAAGAATTTATAAATGTCTCTCACAATATGACATTTAGAATTATCACGGGATCAGTGTGCTAAACGTGATCCGAATCATATGCTTGAAAAGAGTATAAATGGAACTACACAAGTTTATTCTACTGGTTCACGGAGTATAATGTCAGCTAGTTTTATCATCCTGTTTGGTGTACTTACATGCTTCACAGAATGGTCACTTGAGACAGTGGTAAATACTACTGAGTCTCACATCAATTCGACTGAATCACAATCCACTCTGTTGCAGGCAACCCTGCAATCATCAGACTGTTTACGGTTGTTTGCTTCACTTTTTGGACGATATTATTGGGTTGATTTTTGCGACAGTAATAGTTATACTGACCCATATTTTATGTATTATACAAATATGATTTGTTCACATCGAAGTTATTTGACAACGAGATACTGGATCGTGTATTCGTAAGTTCCTAAAATATTACTCACTTATATGTTTCATGTGGAATGAATGTTACACATTTTGAAATGATAGATTATTCGGTCACTTCCTGTGTGATACAACGATGAGCGAAATTAATTCCCATCCTTATTTATGATTTTCGCAAAAGTTTACTCTACTGAAATGTCTTTCCTAATATTCAAGTATCTAGCATTATTAATTATATTTAGATTTACTACATAAGATTATCACAATGAGCTCTAGATGTATTTCATTGACAAGAACAACAAAACTAAGCTGATACCTTTTCACATATTAAATAGTGTATTCATGAAGTTAAACTGGATACCTTGTAGTAATTTGTACGAAATACAATCAATATGGAACAATTCAAAGAGGATTTTATCACAATTGAAATATACCAGTTCACTTGATATTGTTCGCTTGCTGTTTAGGATTGCAATCGATCGGTGAACATCAACTGTCGGATGCATAAACATCCAGCTGACGAGTTTGAAATAAGATGAAACACTGTACTAATCATGTCATACGTTCTGAGTGATAGTGACTGTTATTGGTAAGATAGTTATTTTGAAAACTGAAATCGAATCAACAGTTAACTGCAATCAGTGAAGCATTGTATTCTAGTCACAATCTGTCAGCGTCATGAAGTTGTATGTACATAATAGATCCGCTTACATCTATACAAGCATTAAGCGGGCTAAAATCCTGAGACATTTCATTCATATCCGAACTATGAAAACTTCACTTTCATAGAGTACCTATTACATCTAGTTTTGAAGATGTTTGCTCTCAGGATAATGAAACATTTATACAAATTATAGAAGGAAAAAATTGTGAAAACAACCCCATTTGGAATTCGTTCATAATGCTGAGTATGTGTTCGTAGTCAAAAAATATCTTTGAATGTCTGCTGGCTGAGTCATGATACACAGCAAACTTTTAATTAGTTAGAGGAAATAAATAAATTACAGACTTCCATCAACATAACTTGACAGAATAATTTCGCGCCACAATCTTGAGTGGATTATACTACAAGACGTGATGTATTGAATAGATTGATATGATAAAGATTTACAAGAGTCTATATGTCTTCATAGGAATTTCTCCACCAAAAACAATCGTATATCTAGTTGTGATTAGGTGAGTTGCCGATTCTAAATTATCAGTATCATCAGTGTGCATACGGGGTCTTTGGAAAAGTCATTTAGACTGATTGGTTTGAGTTTGCTATTATTTGATAGAAACATTCAGTGACTCGATACAAATGAAATAGTTACAGTTAATTCATTTTCAAAACATTCAACCATTATTAGAATTGATATTTTGTCCAGCCGAAATTTTCAAAACTTTATTTTAATACATAGGCAACACGAATTCCACGGTCAATATATTATAATTCCACCCGGTGAATGTAATAATCATTTAAGGCAATACGGAATGACGTCAGTTGGGTCAGTACTGAAATGCTCAAGAGCAAACCAATACGACACGAACTATTACTGTCATAGACCACGTAGAACATTGCTGCCGAATAATCAATTTCCACATGGCATTCCTCCATTCGGACCGCAACAGGTTCAAGATCCATTTGGATCGACGAATTTTCTTGGTCCACAAAATTAAGGTATGACAAGTGAAATGGATTCAACTTAGAATATTTATTATAAAAAACTTTCACTGTAATAAAATTTTTCTAACAAACACTACAATATGAAATAATCAAAATATATTTTGCAATTGTACTGACTTTGATGGTGATATTTGTGGAAATTATATATTTACCTGGTCCAATTTTATTTAAACAACTCACACGAAATGTTTACTTCTCATTAGACTTCAGAAATCAGTCCACGTAGATAATAAAATGATCGGATCAAGATTAAGAGATTTATCTGCCATTGCGGTTGATGGAACATTTTCAACAACACTAAAAAGGCGCTTCGTTCTATTATGGTTCCACTCAGCAGTGAGCATCCAACAATCCAATTTATCATTCAGTGTGACGATAAAAACTATAAGCTTAGGTCAGACCTCTTCTAATTTGATTTTTAAAATGTCTTGACTGAATGATGTATTTCAAAAGACTGCAGCGTAGCGTCGAGTTGAGATTAACTGTGAACACCGCTACCAAGAAACACGTGCCAGATAAACCAGAAGGCGAGGATTGAAGGTAACCAGATTTATTTCGTTGGCAATCTCGTGGTATTGAACGAATACCGAGATCGTGCCAAGAAAAGGTACAAGCGAAAGCAGAAGACAGGACTACGTGCGAATAGTACCAAAAACGGCGGAACAATGATGGAAGGTAATGGAAGCACAAAATGGCTATAATCAGCACAGTTAAACAAAAGCACATTAAAACAAACACTGGTACAGTTGGTTATAATAATAATTGTTTTTATTAAACCAGTCGTGTTCTCGTGATAAACGTGAGTCACTACAGGAGCCCCCCGCTAGAAATGGTTTACACTTTTGATAAATAGCGGTTTGAATCGTGGGACTGATCGGCTGATGAGCGATTGTAGGACGGAAGAATTGGCGAACAGGAAAGCGATCGTTGATCGTCGAGTTGCCAACGAAGGTCGTTTTCGGAGATCAGTACCAGGAGCGATGTGTTGTATTTATTGCTCGAGTTGGCATGCTACACCAGAATGGTTTGTCTCCAGAATCTGAAGAGGGCGTTCGTAGAGGTGCGCACCAGAAACGCTGCAGATGTAGGACGAAACCACGTTGAGCCAAAAGACCAGAAGCGACCGTAACGACCAAGTTCGAGACCAAGCGTATGCCAAGGATTCGAAACCAATATATCGACTGAGTACGTTGACAAGAGCGTGGGTGATCAGGCCAGCTTTCGCCAAAGTTGACTGAAGTCGACGGAACCAAATGGAGATGGTCGAAGGCGTGGGCTCAGGAAACAAAAAGAAAATCAAAAAAAGAAGAGTGTAGCATGCAAGTAGCATAGGAATATTCCTACACCGTATCGGTTGTCGACTGTGCGACTAGTCGCGGAAGCGTACGGATAACCGTACTCGGCGACCGGAACGTGAGACGGCAGTCTCGTTCGCGTCGCGTGAGCCTGCAATCTCATCCGAAGTCAAAGGCGGCGTGGTCTGCTGATCTGGACGTGAGACTGTCGTCTCGTCCGTAGAAGGTGCAGATGACGCGTGCTGTTGACTGGGACGTGAGAATGAGGTCTCAGATGCATCTAGCGTGGGACCTGAAGAAGATTTAAGGATCCCGCTTGGTTTGATAGGTCTAGCACTGAATCTCAGGGTGTCAAATAGGGCACTGTCATCGACATGTGCTGGCTTGAGACGATCAATGCTGACGATCTCGACGCGGCCGTGTCGATCAACCTTGAAGGTCTTTTCGTGACGAGCGATCACGCGAAAAGGGCCTTCGTAAGGTTGTTGTAAAGGTTTGCGTACCGAATCTACTCGTATGAAAACATGTGAACAGGTAGATAACTCTCGAGGGAGAGCGACCTGTCGATGTTGTATTCGAGTTGACACCGGAGACAGCGTTCGCATAAATGCAGACAGTCGTTGGACGTAGTCTGATTTAGCGAAATTAGGTCTGCTCCGTGGTGTGAAGAATTCCCCGGGCAGACGCAATGTCGTGCCGTATACAAGTTCAGCGGCGGAACATTGGATATCTGCCTTTAAACTCGTTCTGATACCTAAAAGAACGAGCGGTAAGGTTTCGTACCAGTTGTCGTTTTCGTGTGCTCGAAGAGCACTTTTAAGTTGCCGGTGAAACCTTTCAACTAAACCGTTTGAAGCTGGATGGTAGGCGGTAGTGCGTATTCGTTCCGTACCAAGCAGCCGAGTAAGTGAGGAGAATAGTGCGGACTCAAATTGTTGTCCTCGGTCAGTCGTGACGGTCGAGGGACAACCATATAGAGCTATCCATCGTTCTACGAAGCGGTGAGCAACTGTCTCCGCCGTGATAGACGTGATGGGTATAGCTTCGGGCCATCTGGTGAAGCGGTCGATGCACGTGAGTATGTGATCATACCCGTGCGATGGTGGCAGTGGTCCTACAATGTCTAAGTGAACGTGATCGAAGCGAGCATCAGGCGTAGCGAATGTACCGAGGGGGGCGGCTACGTGCCTGTGCACTTTTGATCGTTGACATTGTAAGCATTGCTTAGCCCACATACGAACATCTTTATTCATGGACGGCCAGACGTATCGTGCAGCGATGAGGCGTAAAGTAGCTGCGATACCTGGGTGAGATAATCCATGCAGGGCATCGAATACGAGACGGCGATAAGCAGAGGGTACGATGGGTCGTGGAAGACCGGTAGAAGTATCACATAGAATGGTGCCAGAAGTCGTGGCCAGAGGTACTTCCTGATACTGAAGGGACGTAGAGTGTGGTGCTTTTGCACAACTGGGATCGTTTGCTTGGGCAGCGGCCATAGCAGGAAGATCGAGCACCGGCAGGGTAACTGCATTCATTTGGATTCGTGATAGGGCATCGGCAACACAGTTCGACTTGCCTTTGATGTGACGAAGGCCTGTCGTGAACTGGGAGATATAGTCCAAATTTCTGCACTCTCGTGGTGAGTAGCGGTCAGCCTTGGTATGCAAAGGATACGTTAAGGGCTTATGGTCAGTGGATAAGATGGATTGACGTCCTTCTACTGCGTGCCGAAAATGTTTGATGGCTCAGTAGGCTGCTAGCAGCTCGCGACCAAAAGCGTTATATCTCGCCTTCGTGGGAGTAAGGCATCGTGAGAAAAACTCGAGAGGTTGCCAACTACCGGAGATGTTTTGTTGCATGACCGCTCCTATGGCAACATCGGATGCATCAACCGCTATACTAAGCGTGGCTGATGGATCGGGATGGGCGAGAAGAGTGGCTTGCGCAAGAGCCGTTTTGATTTCAGTGAATGCAGTACGTGCAGAATCGTTCATTTCCAATCTGCGTGGGTTGCCGCGTAGTAAGTCGGTTAGTGGTCGTAACCGTTCTGCCGCGTGTGGGATGAAACGACGGTAGAAGTTAACCAAACCGAGAAAAGCCTTCAGTTCCTTGAGTGAGGATGGCACGTTGTACTCCTTTATTGCTTGCACTTTGTCCTGACAAGGTAGAATACCCTCTCGCTTGATAACATGACCCAGAAATATCATTTCTCGTTTACCCAACTCGCATTTGTCTGGGTTAAGTACTATTCCATTATCCGAAAGGCGTTGGAATAATAGTGTAAGATGTTGATAATGTTCATCTACGTTTGATTATGCGATTAGCAGGTCATCAATATAGACGTGAACAAAATCGAGGTCTCGTACAATGCTATCGATAAACCTTTGAAAAGTTTGAGCAGCATTCCGTAATCCAAATGGCATTCGTAGGAACTCAAACAAACCGAAAGGAGTCATGATAGCAGTCTTTTCGATATCTTCAAGAGCGACTGGGATCTGATGATATGCTCGTACCAGATTGATCTTAGAAAAGATAGTCGTGCCCTTGAGCGATGCCGTGATGTCGTGTATGTGGGGGATGGGGTAGCTATCAAAGCGCGTAACTACGTTTAGAGCTCGGTAGTCGCCGCATGGTCTCCAACTAACCCCATCTTTTTTGCGCACCATGTGAAGAGGAGAGGCCCATGGACTGTGAAAAGGACGAATAATACCAGTAGCTAGTAAATTGTCAATCTCACGTTTAGCGAAAGCTAATTTATCCGGTGCCAGTCGGCGAGGTCGTGCCATGACTGGCAGTCCGCGGGTGACTATGTAGTGTACCACACGATTGGTCACCGATGGAATCTCCTCGAGTGGTTTAGTGAGTACGGGAAATCTGTCAAATAAAGCGTGGAATTTATCGTCACGCGAGTAAAAAGTGCCGAGGATTCAATACGCGTTCATGTGGGCTTTACAGCTCATGAATTTGCTGTTCGATGAAGTATCGATTAGCTGCAGCCTACGTGAATCGACAAGCAGTTCATAGTGCTGTAGAAAATCGATACCTAGTATGGCTGTGGGAACATTAGCAATGATGAACGTCCACAGATACCGTCGTCGGTTGCCCAGGTTGACCGCGAGTTGTCGTGTACCGTAGGTAGGAATGACTGAGCCATTCGCAGCGCGTAGTCGAAGCACTGTGGCTTGTGACTTGCTGTTACCTCGTGGTACGACAGACACTTGGGCCCCAGTGTCTACTAGGAACCTAGCGTTTGTGCGATAATCGTGCACATAGAATAGGCGACCAACCTGGGGAGAAGGGCCGGCGAGTACGGCCGCTTTTATTCGCCGGCGCTGGCGTTTCCCGCCTTGTATGAGCATGGTGCTCGACAACGACGGGCGCCAGGCCCGAAGGACCTATGGAACCAGCACCAATTGTCACTCGCTTCCGTAGCCGCCTTTCGGCGTGGCCTGGAAGATGCCCTTTTTGGGCGAGTGGCGACGGGTTTGCGAGAACTTGAGCGGGCTCGGGGGACGTAGGGTTGGGGTACGTTACAACGGTCTCGAAAACTAAGACGTGTGTGAATACACCCGTCCCTGTCACCATGAGCTGAGGAATGACCGGCGTCCATGTCTACTTTAGGACGTGCCGTCGAAGCAACTACATAGGTGTCTCTATTACTGGTCCTCGCCAAAATTTTGTCTGCTATGAGGGCTACCTGGTTAAGCGGTGAGTCCTCGAGCAGTGCCGTCACAGTAGGTTGGATATGGGCTGGTAGTGACTCGAGCCATAATTCCTTAACTATCTCCGAGTCAGGTGCTGTTGGTCCTGTAAGAGATTGCAGGCGCGTGAGGTGATGGCTTGGTTTAGCATCACCCAGG